CCTAGAGGCCGAGGAGGTGGCCGCCCAGTCAAGAGGAGAGGGACGGGCACGTCGCCATGGCGCGCTGTCGCGGAGCCGCCGCGCGCCGAGGGAGGCGGCGGGAGATGTGGGGAGATGTGGGGGAGATGTGGGGAGATGGCGTAGCGCGCCGAGGGAGGCGGCGGCGGAGGTCATGCCATGCTCCTTGTTCTTGTAGAGCCACTTGTTGCCCTCGGGCAGCATCAGCTTGTCCGCGCCGAAGCCGAGGTTGACAAACGCGTTGACGAAGGTGGACGCGAGGTTGGCGCGCGCAGAGTCGACGGCGGCGGCCGAGGCGGGCCGCTTCTCGAGGTGCGACTTGTAGATGTCGTCCGGTGTCTTTGGCTCGAGGACGTCCAGGTCGCGAGCGAGCTCGTGGAAGTGCTCCGGCAAGTGCGCCTAGGACCACGCGCCCTCGGGCCACGCCGTGACTCGCGTGTTCCTTTGACGGCGGAGTGGTGAGGTGCTCCGCCGCCACGCGCCCCGTCCATCACCCGGTCGAGCTCCTCCGCCAGCCCGTCGATCTCGGGCCTAATCTCGTGCAGAATACGCCGACCTCGTGCCGGGACTGCGGTGGTCGTGCGGCGCGCCCAGAGCACCGCGTGAGGCGCGAGGGGCTACGAGTACAGTGAGTACAGCGGGATGCGGCCGAGTACGGCGGAGTACGTGTCACTCTCGAGGGCTAGTTGGCTCGGGCTGCCAGTCAGCGGTGCTGGTGGCAGAAGCGCTGCTTGGCACAAAGCAACCCGCGCAAGCGAGCAAACTTCGTACCGCTAGTGCGCAAGAGTGCGTCTTCTGGCTTCTATGAGCTTCTAGGGTCCCCGACCGCACGCCCTGCCGCGCGAGCATGTAGGCCATCTGCTTGGAGACGAGGGGGTCGTCGCACGCCGTCATGATCTCGGAGATGGCGTCGTCATCCCGAAGCCGCAGGGCGAGCCGCATCGCCTCCGGGAAGCGGCGCAGCTTGCGCAGGATGGCGATGGCCACCTGCAGCACCTGCGCGGCGGGGGAGGTGGCGATGGGGGAGGGGAGGGCGAGACAGACGGTGGGGGGGAGGGCGAGGCGGAGGGTGGGGGCGAGGGCGGGGGCGAAGGCGGCAGCGGCGGGGGCGGGGGCGCGCAACGACACTGTTGGGAGGGGCACTACTGGGACACTGCCTGCGCGTCCTCGGGCTCGGCCACGTAGGAGGAGACCTGTTCACAGCAGAGGTGTGAAGAGGCGCTGTTCACACCTCGGCCACGTAGGAGGCGACCTGGACGAGAGGTGGGGAGAGATGTGGGGAGAGATGGGGAGAGGTGGGGAGAGGTGGGGAGAGATGGGGAGAGGTGGGGAGAGATGGGGAGAGGTGGGGAGAGGTGGGAGAGAAATGGGGAGACATGGGAAGAGGTGGCGACATCTGTGGAGAGGTGGAGAGAGATGGCGGAGAGGTGGGAAGAGGTGCCGAGAGATGTCGTTTAGCCGATCAGAGATGAGGGAGAGGTGCGCTTCCGGCCACGTAGGAGGAAGCCTGTCCTAGGAAGAGGACGACCCGCTCCTGTGTGGCCTCATCGACGCGACGAGCCCGGGCGTCGAGCT